TCGCGCGCGCTCATTGAAAGTGATACAATCTCGGGAAATAACAGATGTCCCCTCGTTGCTCTCGAGTGTTCAACAAAGAAACGGTTTCGCGTACCTCGGAGATTTCACGTGAAGCCCTTTGTTGTACTTGAAGCGCTCCAGAGAGAAGAGACAACCGGCCTGTCGTGGAAATTTACCGATCCAAATTATTTACTAATTCCGAACACCTTTCTTGTCAACACTAATCTTTAACCGCTAAATTTCATGTGTACAAAAAAATAAATCGAATGTAGATACTGATAATTGTAATGATATTTGATATGTAGCTTCCTCAGATCTGTCGTGAAATTCGTTGCAATTCAATTAGATTAATATTATTCCGAAATAAGCAATTCATTTGGGATTGATTAGTTGTTTGTTACAGATTACATAACCTATTCGGCTTGCCTTTGTTCTTAAATGAAACGAGAGAAACCGCGAAGAATAAGAGACTTGAGATAGCGGCAAATCGTAAAGTAGTCGATCAAGCAACAATGTTACTCTTTAAAAAAGAATAGAATGATATGTCATTTCATTCTGCCACTAAAATTTCGAACAGAGATTTATAACTTGTTTTCACGAGTTTCTCACTTTTGAGATCTCTCTTCGCGGACAACTTCAAACGAATAAATGAGGTTAATGATTTGTCAGAAAAGTGATGTTTATTTCAAATCAATAGAATATACTATATATGTATAATTTCACAAAATTATTATTGTTTTTCCAAATATTCCAAATATTCCAAATATTTTCCAAGATTCCAAATATTTTTTATATCGACTATCGAAAATAATTATATTATTTTACATATTTTGATGCATCTTGAAGTTGTCGTTTATAACTAGATCCAACCTATCCTAAAGATTTGATGTTCAGTACTGCATGAAGTTAGTCGCGAGTATGCTTTCAACAAGAGTAGTCGCAGCTCGTTTCCTTTACATTCCGACGGCTCGAACAGAGGGATCGTAATTTCGTGTTTATTTACTATGCTTTCTGAACTGGAAATTGTCAGGTATTAGGTTAATGTACAAAAATCCTCTTTGCGTTTAACGATCTCCCGTTAACGAAGCTAGGAAATCGCAAATTTTTTTTTACAGGAAAATGTTTTCGTCGAAAGAAAAAGCTTACCTCTTGTGTCTAATTGCAAATCGAGCATTGAAAATGTTACGCGTGGGTCCCGTCGCTTTGAAACTTATTTTTTCGCCCGTCGCGAGAAAAACGTTGCGGTAATTTTTCGTGTAAAATGTCTCAGATTATGTCTAACGAAATGAAGTAATTTAATGTGTCGCAGCTTCTTCTAAGCGTGTGTCGTAAGAAGGAACTGAGTAATTAGTAAACTTTGTGCGAATTCATTTAATTTGTAGCAGAATTTAAGCATGTTTACACTCGGCATGTTGGCAGATTTAGTTGAATCTTAATCTATTGGATAAAATATTTATTTTAACGTCATTTGTTTTCTTTTTTTTAAAATCGAATTTATCGTTGAATATTAATTGCATTTATTTTAATTGAATTTTCAGAAAAATTATAATTAAATTAAAATTAAAATTTATAAAGATTTGAAATTTTCTGTGAATTTAAATATAATTTTTCTTCGAATAATTTCTATAAACTACGGTTTCTATAACAAGAGCAACGAACTCGATAAATAGAACTATACTGTTTTATAAACTCATAGTCAAATGAGTATTTGAACTAAATGCGGTATTAAACGCGATACAATGCAATCGTGCATGATTGGTGGCGTGGTAACCTATAATCAGTCGACGTCAGTGTATACAACTTGCACATTTTGATCGAGTCGGATCGTCTATAGGCGTCCACTGACCCCCTTCGTCGTGACGTTCCCGCGTCGCGGTTGAAAGGAGCTAATGATCTACGAAGCGGACCGAATGATAATTAACACTCATCGTAACCACGGCGTGATTAACCGTGATGAACGAAAGCGATGGTGGAATGCGCGTAGGTGAGCGTCCGCGGTGCGTTATACAGTCGCCTTCAGACGAGGCATTTCGATCGCCAAAGAGCATATTACCGGCGATGTAAACATCATACTGACCGCAACCATCTCAGCTGTGCAAGAGTTAAATTACACGGTCGATAGTAAAAGCTCTTCTTGCTTTCAGCGGAACAAACGATTTCGTGCGTCAACACACGCTGATCAACATTTGAATTGCGCATCATGTGACGTTTTGTTGATGTTGTAAATGGGTTAGAATGTAATTTAATAGACCAAGTTTTGCGGTATATTTAGTTGTTAATTAGGCAATACTTGAATTGAGTAAGAATAAGTATAGAATTAAATATTGACATCTTGTCACGTTTTTTTTAAAATATTTTTATTTTTTTTAATTTTTATTTTAGTCTTTTCATCTCTTTGAATTTTTTCATTATGTATATTGTTTTAATCCACCGTCTATTCAGTAATTAATGATTATGAGTGATGTATAAATTTGAGAAAATGAAAACATGTGATCAATATATAATGATGTTTTTATTTTTTAGTATATTTATTTTAAATTTAATTATTTATTGCTATTAATTTAGCAATTTAAATAAATGAAACATTTATTATAGATTTATTTATAAATAAATGAAGAAAATATAATGGAAACATTTTGATTATTATTCTGATCTAAATTTTAAAATAGTAAAAAGATTATTAAACAAAATCTAAATATACTAGAATTTCAACATAATAATTTTAAAATGTTTAATTAAAAAAATGTGTTTATAATATTCAGTAATAATGTTTAATTAACGAGTTTAAATAATTGCTACAACTACAAATATTATTGTATTCTGTATCTGCCTGTACGATTGTATTCTTACATACTATTTCATAACCGTAAATATATTAAAATCTAATAAATTAGTTCTATTCGTCATTTTCTTATTGCAATAATCACATATAATCAAATAAAACTTTCTATCTCAAATGAACAAAAATAATTCAATTGTCGCTATTGCACATTAAGTGGCAATCGAAAAAAATTATTTTTGTTAGTCATATCTCATGTTTTTAATTTGCCTTTCGATCGCAATTTTCAAGTAACGAAAAAGGTCGGCAAATGAACGATAAATTTATGCGGAGCGTAATCAAGCTTGGAAAAATGAAAAAATTTACCGTCGACACCGCGATGTTTATTATTCGCCGCGGCGTTATTTATTTTCTGGGTGCACTTCGAAATTTGCTTTCGGCGAACCAGTTTCGACAGTGCCAATATTTGCCCCGTTTCGCGCGTGCGATAATCCCCTGAATTATGTTCTTTGAAGCGGCCGCCGTTTTGTATGCGTGGAAGGGCACGTGAAAGAGCGTGCAGAAGTACAGAGATCAAATCGAGTTCTCGTGATTTACCGTTGGCTTATGAAATCACTCGCAACAATATCGGCCGGTTATTTTTGATAGTCGGCTCGATGTGTTTCACACGGAAACATTGATCTGCCTTTACGCGAAACTTTGACCTGTCGGCATGCAAAATTTGACCTTTTTTTCCTTCCAATGTTTCATACGCATGCTTTTTAATGCATCGCGATTATGAATCTGACAGATTTACGAGGTGATATTTTTTCTTCCGTTTCCTGAACTGTGTGGATTTTTTAGTTTATAAAATGTACGATTTACTGAATGCATGAGGAAGAGTGGGCGAAGACATTATTTATGCCGATATTAGATTAATAGATTTGAAAAAGGAAATATTAACTGTAACAATGAGAAAATTCTTAAGATTTATTTTATTTTAATCAAAAATTTTTTGAATAACTTTATTGGGAATAAATTTTTATTAATATTCAGAGCGTAATTTTTTTTCTTTCCATGTATTTCTTCTAATTATTAATTTAATTCTTTAATTAGTTTATTATTTCCTTTATTTCTCAACGATATCATACATATATAAAATTTTCACGACCTTGAAATCGCACAATAGACGACAATTACCTTCCACTTGATCAGTACGCAACATCCCGTTTTTAATTAATTAATGCTTAAAAAGTCGACAAGCGTAGTCTTAGAAATCTTTCTCTCACTATATTTCGTAATACCAACATTTCAATGTTCGTCCGCTTGGCTAACAAACACCATTGTTGAGGAAACGTCGCCGCGAGGTTAAGAAATTATTTCAGCTTTTCACTCGATGTCGACACGATGCGCGCGCATTCGCGTTCGTGTTTAAACTAAGCATCTTAACGGATCCAACTATTTAAAGTGTAAGAGTGTGAACGAATTCTACGAAAATGCGTTTCTTTGCGTATTTTCTTTCCATTTGCTACCGGTAAATTGCAAATGCTCGAGTTTGAAATCACATTTCAACTACCAGTAAAGAAAAAAAAATCGCTGAAATGTTAATGTTTTTCCATCCGTATTTAATCCATCAGAATTTCACCATTTGACACGTATTTCTTGTGTTTCCAATACTCTGCCTAATTCTGTAAGCTTCGAAATTAAGTTTTAACAAAAATCAGTGGATATTGCATCGTGCTACCGTATCGCGATATATGATATATGGAAGCGAAATTTAAACAAAACATGATTCAGCATTTTCTTTTTCTTTGTTTAAAAATACAGAAAAAATCACAAGGCGGACTATTATTTCGAAACAAGATTTGGAAAAAAAAACATCGAGTTAATTTCATAGGAACATGCATGTTATTTTCTTGTTGGAATTTAAAAAATATATTAGAATTTAGAAAGAAATTGTTGTAAATACGTACATGCATATGTATATATAATAATAAGATGCATAAAAAGCAGTCAATTTTTCAAAATTTTGGATGTGGTGTATGATTTTCAAAAAAAAATATTATACATATAATGAAACTAATTTGCTTTGCCTAGAACAAAATAAAAAATATGTATGTGAAATGCAAAATGTTAGAACAGAAGATGGAAGCATGTGCTTCGTTTGGTATGAATAAACACTAGCTATTTCTGTAAAAGACCAACAAGCTTTTGCTTGTAAATCTCATGCATTAGCTTTCTGTGTCCTGTTGTCAATGTTACATAAGATTCTGATGCGATATTTTTTAATTACTATTTTACTTGTGATATTTTCAGTGATTTATGTATAAAATGTCACTTTTTCTAAGATTTTGATGAATAAATCGTCAAATTTACATAAAAGATATTGAATTTTTAAGAATGTTTATAATGTTTGGCTTTACAGTAACACATAATCGATAATTTTTTTAGTTTATGAATGGATATGCATCTCATTATAGACACAATTTCTTGCTCATTATATCTTGCATATTTATATGTGACTAAATTTCATATAAAATAAATGTAAAAAAAAAAAAATATCTCTCTAAAAATATTCTTCACTTAATATCATTTTCGCATACGTATTTCACGAATTATTTTCTATCTATAATAATACATTTCAAATTTTAATAAAAATACAGAAAAAACAAACTCTTGCTGGAAGCATTTAGCGATCAAAGTATAAACTTTGAATCATTCTATAAATCATACAAAAGTCATAATCAATCATATTCAATATTTCTTTCTGATATATTTAAGAATAAAATTTTCGAGCATAATTTTTATATGTTGAGAAATTAATATTATTCTCTTATAGTCTCTCAATTGTAATTGTGAAAATTACTTTCAAGAAACAAGTTTCAAGAGAATTTAATTATTTTACTGTCAAACTTATTTGCATTCTACGATTCTCAGCTTTGAGCGATTAAATTAATAGTTAATGATTGTTCGTTTGTTTTTTCTAGCATTGTGTTAGCGTGGCCGGAGGTGGCGGCGGTGGCGGAGGCGGCGGCGGAGGAGGCGGTGGAGGTGGTGGCACGGT